GGAGTCCTACCGAACGTGTAAGGTCTAGAAAAACCGATGTGAACGGAGAAGTTCATGGAGGTAGGCCTAGGCCCACTGGGGCTGTAGTGCCAAGGAAAAGAAAAAAAAAAGGGATAGACTGTTTAGCCTATTTATATGATTTAATTTGCTATTCGGCTAGGATAGAAGAACATGCAGAAAAATTGGAAAAAATATTTCACAGGCTACAGCAAGCAAACTTTAAGATACAACCCAGTGAGTATTTGCAACAGACACGGTAGGGTATTTGGGGCATATAGTGACCAAAGAAGGAGTCAAACCAGACCCTCGGAAAACACAAGCTGTTGAGAAATTTCCAAACACCCCCCCCGTACAGTTAAGGAGGTTCGGGCTTTTATAGGACTAGCCGGGTACTATAGGCGTCATGTCCGCAATTTTGCAGAAAGTGCTAAGCCCCTGACGGAATTAACTAGGAAAGAAAGTCCTTTAGAGTGGGGGCCTGAGCAACAGGAGGCTTTTGGTAAGTTGAAAAATATTTTGAGTCAGGAACCCTTGTTGATTTATCCAAATTTTTCGCAGCCGTTTATTGTAGCGGTTGGAGCCATCTTGTGACAGGCTAAAGATGTAGAGAAGCTGCCAGTGGCGTACTGTAGCGGACAGTTGATCTCCGCTGAATCCAAGTAATAGCATTATTGAGTTATTAATTCTAGCCTACTTCAGTACTCACCTACCGTCTCTTCACTGGTCACAATCAGATATTAATGATCACTGTGCGGGTACGCTATTGCAAATGATGTACTGAGAACTCTGGAGAAGTAATTTAATGGAACAAATGACATGTATGTATGTATGTATGTATGAAGGGGTAGGCCTACTCGGCCCTTGCACTTAGACCTCAGTGGTCCATTGTGCTTCCCCTTTTTTAATTATTCCCTCAGCAACCCCACGCTTCGGATGAAGCGCAGGATTTTGGACGTGGGGGCGTCGAAATAATCACTTGGTTCCATAAAGTACTGACCCAAGTGACGTAGTCTTAATGAAGCTAAAGCCTCACATTCACACAGGACGTGTGTGGCTGTTTCATTTTCCATCTGACACCTCTCACAAGTAGGACTATCACTTAGTCCCAGTTTGAACAGGTGTCCTTTGAGAAATTACATGTAAATGCTAATTGTTTATGTGGCTTGGTCACTGCAACACCTGAAATACTTAACATATGACACGGCAATAATTAAGGCAGGAGTTGAAGGAACACGGGAAAATCAAGCGGCTGTAAGGGCAAAAGTATTAATGATGAGCAGTGACACACACACACAGGGAGCTTGCACAGAATAAGACATGAACGGTGCTGGAAACAAGAATAGCCGCTGCAGCACACTTAGACACAGAGCAGGTATCCCTGTGATTTAAAACTTTAAATTTTGAATTTTAAATTTTAAAAAGATTTAAATTTTAAATTGGGATTATAAAATCAAATTTACGAGCGTATGTTGGTGAGATTTTAAACAGAAATGACAGGCTGGTGTTTTAGATTTTGGATTGTGTGCAGTGTGACAGCTACGTAGTGAAAAATTACACCTGATGATGGCCAGTTACGGCCGAAACATGTAGTGTAGAGGACAAAAAAAGACAAAGAACTACAACCAAATAAATTGTTCCATTCATGAAGGCATTTGTGTTATTACATATAGGGCCGTAAGGGACTTTACTTGTAATTGTTTATTGTTATTTACTCAAAGTTAATTTCTTCTAATAATTTGTTATATCAATCACGGTGGCCGCGCCGTCTGGCGCATGAACTGTCCTCGCTAACTCGAATACTGGAGCCCCAGCGTCGGTCTAGATCCTGTGGATTAGACAAATACCTCCTGCTCTGCCAGGAGCGGAACCCCACCGTCCAGCCCATATCCCTTCGCTATACAGGCTGAGCATACTCTTGCATTTTTCGCCTACGCAACAGACTGCTATGCTATTGTATTGTTCAGCTACGAATGGGCTTATCGACCTCGAGACATTCATAATTATTACGTTTTTATACAAGCCGCATAAAATATTGAGATCACGTAGTCGGTGCTGTGGAAATTCAAACTTGTGATCGATAAAAGTATGCATTAATTTATATGTATAAGTTTCGTGTACAACAGGGGCTAAGGGTGCTGGAAGTAAAGCTTTGCCTGAGATCTCTAACAGAGTTCACACTGCCTGTTCGTCGGATATCGACTGACGCCTAGGCTGGCTCGATGAGACAATGAAGAGTTACGACTTGTGTATCGGCAATTCGGTATAGCCGCTCGATTTTCACGAATCAACCGACGTGTGTATCGGTAATTCGGTACAGCCGTTTGATTTTCTCGAATCAACCGACATGTGTATCGGAAATTCGGTGTAGCCGCTCGATTTTCATGAATCAAAATATCTAGATTAGGGCCACAGCAATGTTTTCTTTTGCCCGCCATTCACGGCGATGATGCGGAGAAAGCGTCTCAGACAGAGATCAGCGCCCCCGGTTAGACGGGAGTGGAAAACTCGGACGTGGATGCAACCGTGGTGCTTCAAGGTCGCTCGCAGTAATGCCTCCAGTTCTTCTTTCCAGATGCGTTGTTTCCTTCTCGGACTGGCGTGGAGACAACTTTCAGTGTGCCTATATTGTCTGAAATTTTCAAATCTATAGGCAGCTTGGGCAATTTGTTTTGATGTGGAGAATTTTAAAATGAGGAAATTACCCATAAGCGAGCTGAATGGCATTCGGTAGAACTCGAAATATTTCGTAGAGTGCCACTTTAGTTGTACATAAAATATGATAAGTTGTTCATTCTCTAATCTTTTACAAACTACAGGACCGCCTTTTTAGTTTTAAACTATATCAATATCTGTGACGTTCATCTCTATCTGTGTGACTTATGTTTACTTCTCTGGTAGGAAATGAAACATAAAAGAGCATGAAAAATTCGTCTTTATGGCCACTTTCTCACTTCGCCTTCTGTCCGCCATTTTGCCGTCCGCGCAAGAACAGCAAGATGGCGCTCCGTTACTTCCTAAACTGAAGGTACTGGGTGAATAAATATGTTTATTCATTTGTAAGTGCTCAACTTCCGATAAACGAATCTAAGGATACTTTCTTAGGTAACCTGTGTAAACTGGACGCTGTTAGCACATTATTGGACTTATTGGAGAGCCGAGAAACATTATTTGGAAAAATGTCTGCCTGCCTATTCGTTTGCAACGAGGCCAAATAGACGTGTCCGATTCTATACGTTATAACTTCCAAAAACACAGTTACATCGAACGCTGTGCATTTTCTGATCATTACCTGAACCACTCGACGTTCCGAGAGATTTCTTTACCTGTCATTCAGACATAAGCTGAACGTCTGTTGTGATTCCTCGGCAGCGGCTTAGTAGCCGCCCTGTACTTCTACCACAGTGTCATATCGTCATATTTTGTTTGTGAGCCTTCTCGTCTTTACGTTTATTCTTCTACCTAATTGATCCTTTCTGCAGCTGTACTTAGGGAAATCAAATAAGTAACATTTGAGGTTTTATCGGCCGTGACTATGAAGAATGCCGTCTTCTGGGATGTGACGCCGTGTAAATCCTGTATGAACCGACGTTTCGGAGGAACATATTGCCTCACTCTCCAGAGTAGAACGATCCGCGAGCGAAGAACCAGCAGTCTGCAGCCACCTACTCACGCTGATTCCTCGCTCGCGGATTTTTTTTACCCTGAAGATGGAGGCAATACGTTCCTCCTAAACGTCGGTTCACACAAGATTTACAAGGCGCCACATCTAAGAAGACGGCATTCTTCAAATTCAAATAAGTTTTCATGAAAATATTTTTTTAGAAAACTGGTTTTACTGGGTTGGTGTCATAGCTAGCATGTTTCTACACGGACATTACAGACTAATTCCGATTTAAACGTATTGCACCTCCGCTTACAGAGTTACCAGTATTTCCTAGAAACTGCCGGCGTTATGACTGATCCTCGACAGTACAGGCATGCCTGAAATATTACACAGGATAATAACTGCTATTTTTAAAAAGAAAATCAATTCTTGTTATATAAAGTAATTTCATTTGTTGGTCTTCTTTTCTCCGTCACTTCCTCTCCTTGTCAGCTTGTTCAATGATAATATTCAGTATTATAATACAAAAGTGAACTATGTCCATTTGTGTCTTTTCTTGGAAGTAAGCAATCGGTATCCAGAACCAAGATGTAAAGTAGCAGGGCATTGGCTGACGAGAACAGAGAGATATATGTGTAAGCCTCTGAATGTCTTAGTGAATAAACTGGTTTATTTGAATGCAGTTTAGGGAACTTTCGATAACGTTTCGGCTAAAGGGAATATATACCGTTTTCATCTGATAGAAGAACAGTGGCTGACTAGAAAATATTCATAATATTATTATAATAAATAATAGATTGCGATATATCGATACAGCTCATGAGCAATCCTTTAGCCAATTCTTTCTAGAGAATATTGCTACAGTCTTCATTTTGGTCGACGGGAAATATATATTCAAAAGCTTGTCATAATAAATAAATTTATTATTCGAGATTACTGGGTTTTCGAACTTTCTCTATCTGCGGGTATTATAAATAACCCAGCGTTTCGGAAAGTGTTTAAGTTTTCGAAAAATTATGTTGTTTACAATGCCGTACGATCGATAACTTAGAAAACTCAACAATTCCGAATGAAACACATCATCGTCAGAACCCTTTAGAATCGCCAAGTTACACTTAATTACCGTATTTACGCATGTATAGGCCGCACATTTCTTGCCAAAAATTCAAGAAGAAAACTGAGGTGCGGCTTATATTCGAAATATTCGAAATCACATTTCATAAAAAAAAATTAACGTTGCCAAATTTCGGAATAATTTCTACTCCTGAAATAATATTCCAAGAAAATTATTTTTTCTATAATTTCTGTCTGAAAATTGTGCTGCGGCCTATACATGCGTAAATACGGTATAAGGATAACCCGAGCGATGGAATGCCTTTCCCTAGTGCAGATACTGTTGCTAAAGTCCTTAACGATCCTAGATGACATTTCTAGGAGACCAAAACTTTTCTCTATCAGTACAGATGGTCCTCACATTCTCTGAAATGATTATGAAAAAAAAAAAGGATCATTGAAACTCCATATAAGTGGTGAGAATGATGAAAGGAGAGATGTTACAGACACGGGCCTGGGCCTGGTGTTCGAGTATCGAAAGCCGAGCACTGTGTGGCTGCGAGTGTGTGATTCCTTTCCGGAATTTTTCATCCTAGCTTTTCTTTCTTCTTGTAGGCTTTTCGATAGAAGTCTGAGAAGAGGTAGAGGAAGATGATTACGTTGCTGATGAAGAAGAAGGTCAAGGCCTTTGGGAACTTGCAGTCGTAGGCCAGAAGGCAGAGCAGGTACGTGAGCATGATGCAGAACTGCACCTGTACAAAATTCATCACCAAACTTTAGAATTTCTTAAACAATCTTCATTCTTCGCTTCCTGTCCATCAAATAACAGAATAATTAAATTAAAATCTGAGCCATAGCAAACTCATAGCTGGGTTATCTGTACACTAAGATGGCTGTTTTTAACGTATAATCTCGTAACGCAAAGCAATGCTTGTCGACAGACTCTTATGTTTCTCTTAGAAATTGGAATTTGTCGACAGATAATTACTACATAAGATTTTCAGTTTATGTTATATTTCTGAAAACACGAACTTTGTTACGTAGTTGGGGGTAGATGACTCTTGATAATGAGGATTCCTCGTGGATTCTACGGTCAGAATTATATAATAAAATATTAAAGTTCATAATATTATATTAATATGAACAAGAACTGCTGCGAATACTAAAAGGAAAGTACAGGATGATAAGTAACAATATATTTAAAAGGATCTGAACCCGTAAGTAAAAGTAAAGGTATCCCTGTAAAGGCCATGGAGGATCATAGGGTTATGAGATTTTGAGGCTCCTGCATTTTCTATAGATAATCGGCTCGCAGATGGCGGTAAGGGTGTCAGCCTTACGCACCGGCCGCCCCTTACCCCCAGGAATATTCGTGGTACTCATTTTTGTTAGAAGCTGAGTCGACCCTCGGGCCACAATGCTGCCGGAATGATTAGGTAAATTGAAAATATCCATTTTTGATTTGTTTCATTCTGGTCCGTCACACTAACAATTACAAATATGAATTACTCCGTCCAATGTGACCTGTAAGTGTATTACTACATGAAAAACTTAACACCCTTACATGTTTCGGTCTCTGCGGACCATCTTCAGAGGGCAAACATCACTACAAATAGGAACAGTAACAACAGCACAGCAGCCACGAGCAAACCCTGGGAGATATAAAGAACCTCCACATCAAGATAGCCAGGTGGCACAATATCTGCCCCATACAAGAGGGACGATGGGAGGACGAACACAAGCCTGCATGGTTTATGAATTTTAATTATTGACAATGAAAAAATTTTTAATTAGCCTCAAGAAATTTTAAATAGTTTTTAAAAACTTACATTCCCAGGAAACAACTGTGTTTGTGAAATGTTCTATTTTGTGTACTATGCATTGTAACATATAAGTGTACGTACTTTATATCTAAACAACTTATGTGATGGTGGTTTCCTATTTGTAGTGATGTTTGCCCTCTGAAGATGGTCCGCAGAGACCGAAACATGTAAGGGTGTTAAGTTTTTCATGTAGTAATAAACTTACAGGTCACATTGGACGGAGTAATTCATATTTGTATTTGTGAAAATATCCACCTCATCGGGATTCGATCCCGCGATTTTCGGGCTTGTAATATAGTGCCTCAACCAATTACGCTACCGCGTGTCCCGAACCAGAATATGTTCAATAATAATTCAAGATGAATGAAGTGACTGAGGAGAACAGTAAGAGGCACTTCATGATTCACGCTCTACCCTTGATAATACTTATGTACTGGTAGCGGAGCTAGAAGTCTGAATTTAACTCGAGAAAACACATTGATATAAAGTTTTGAAGAGAAATTCGTCTGTACAAATTTTATGTTTTTGGACATTATCCATCGTCGTATCTTTATCTAAAAAACCGTCCTGATTATTTTTGAAATTGTGTTTTGAATAATAAACAGGACGGCTTTTAGATAAAGACAAAGACGATGGATAATGTCCAAGAACATAAAATTTGTACCAATGTACCATCGTCACAATTATTTTTTAATTTTTCTGTTACATGTTCACTTCGGAGATCGAGTCAGAAGATGGGAATGCATTATTGTTGTAGCTCCTGCTGATAGGAACTAGACCGAATTGAACTGCAACAGAATTACTATGATGAGTTCTTAAGTTTTGGAATGGCCGCGCCATAGCTCAAGTGGTTAGTCGCTGGCTTCCCACCGCGGAGGCCCGGGTTCGATACCGGGTCTGGTCAAGTGGGATTTGTGGTAGACAAAGTGGCGCTGGGGTAGGTTTTCTCCGAATACTTCGGTTTCTCCTGTCAATCTTTATTCCACCAAATTTCCCCATCATCATAATCACCCGGGGCAGGCTACAATATGTCAATCAGTGGTCGCTGTACCGAGTGGACCCAGTTGGATTCAACCCCCCACTAAACGAATTAAATTAAATTAATTAAAAGTTTTTGAATCAACTAATTTGACAAGGAATTATCTACATGAAGCAGATGAGCATCTCACCAGTTGTATCCAAGTCATATACTTCTTCCACCACAGATATTTCTGGTACTTTGGGCCCATAGCTGCCACCATGTAGTAGAAATACATCACCACATGCACCACTGAGTTGAGAAACCCGATCACCAGTCCTTGTTCACCTGCAAACAGGCATGGGTCAGTACCTCAGCTTTCCTATGGGATGCGTTTTACACTCTGGTAGGGCGTTATGACCCACGAAATCGGCTGGACTCAGGAAAATTCAAATTAAATTCTCTTCAAAAATCAGTTCACTAGCCTGCATACAAGCTCGCTCAATTTCCATGCTTCTGCTTGCATAAGCCAGTAGTCCCAGCGTAAAGGACAGATCGAAAGTACCGGTATCTCTTACTGAAAACATGCATAGCTCAGCGAAGTCACAGATAATGGGAATGTTGTTATGAAACACAACAAAAGCCCTACCTGCGGTGTTTTCATATCATTACAGGTCTAAGTGAGTAGCACATACATATCTTGTTCCGTGGGTTCCCTATTCGAGTCCCAGAAGGCGGGTGTTCCGAATCGTATTTGCAGTATTTAGTTACATGAGGTACAAAAAACTTCGTGGTTTTAGTCCCCAAGCGAACTATACCGACCGAGCGACCGCCGCTTGTCGGCGAAGTTAGTGCCAACTTCAGCGGATAGAGGGTGTCGCGTGGTCAGCGCAACGAATCCCCACGGCCGTTAATCTCGGTTATCTAGACCGGAGCCACTATTTCCTTGAAAAGGCTCCGCAATTAACCTCACGAGGCTGAGTGGACCTTGTTTCAGACCCACTACTTCTCACAAAATCTGGTAGCGCCGGGAATCGAACTCGGACCTCTGGATCTGTAGCCAGGAACTCTGACCACTAGCCCACAGAGGAAGTCTCACATGAGGTATATATGAGGCGTCATATCACCTATTTCTACTTATTCGTCTCCTCAGAATTAACGATGTAATTTATGGACTTTGTTACAAATTCTGCAGTTGTCGGTTTAATATACGACAGCATATAAAATGAGTATAGACCTCTTTCAGGTCTATAATTTTTGCTATAGTTACTTGTTTAACTTGTCTGTACATCAGATGAATAAAATTAAACCAGTATTCATACCATTGCGCATAACAGGGCTTCCAAAGGGCTAATCTGTACCACAAAAAAACATTTTTCCCAAGTCTTCTATTGTAATGTACATTTTCCGTAGCTACTATATTTAAAAGAAATTCATTCAATGGTTGTGGAAATATAGGCATGGGCCAACGACGGGCCGATGGTCTTCGTTTCGAGCTTTAAGCATAGAAAATTGTGTGATCTGAGCCGGCAACAACTTGGAATATGAACGTTGCTCCTATAAACTTAAATTAATCTAAGACTCGGAGATGTGTCATGTGATACATTTCAAAGTGTTAGGAACTCCTCGGAAGTTAGAGGTTCTCACCTGGCAGAAATTTGAGGTATCCCCAGGAGAACAGAGCAGTGATTGTGTGGTGATACACGTGCAGAAACGTCACCTGATTCTGTTTCTTCCTTAGAACGAAGAACACCTGCAGAAAATAAAATTCAGTTATACCATTATAAAGCGATCTTTGATTTTTGTTGTTTTGTTTTAACGAAGGGTGAGATTGCCCGTAATATTTGGAATGATATAAAAACTACCCCTCATTTTGACCTCCTCCATTCACGATTGTCGCTATCGGACAAGTTCAACAGTTACAAGAACGTGATTTGTAAGAGAAGATATTGTATTCTGGCATTCCGTAGTTTCCGATGTGTCCGTTATGCTGCGCTGCATTAGCTTAAAGTAAATTACGTCTCATTAGGAGGATCTGGTGTGATGCACAGAACAAAGTCATTCAGACTAACATGACGACTTTCGACAAGTGTACAGTTTACTATATTGTACTCAGTGTATTCATAATTTGTATTTGTTTTTGCCCATATATAAATTTATTGAGTTAACCGGGGTAGTTCAGTCGGTATAGCGACTGGCTACGGGCTGGGCAACCAAGGGATCGGAGTTCAAGTCCCAGTAGGGTCAGAATTTTCTCTTCTCCATATCGTCCAGACCGGCTCTTGGGCCCACCTAGCCTCCTATCCAATGGATTCCGGGGGACCTATCCCCGGGAGTAAAGCGAGAGGGGCGTGAAGCTGACCACTCACCTCGAGCTAGTGTCGAAGTCAAGAAAATATGGATCTGTAAATCCACTCCCCCACACGCCTTCATGGCGTAGTGCTTAATTAGTTAAGCATACGGACAAGTTTATAAATTTTTTTAATTCCCTAATTACATAAATTTTCTTGATGCAGCTGTTGTGGTGTGCACAAAAAGACAATCGAAAACTGTAAGACTAAAACCAGACGAGTTTCTTTTGGAACACACAGTAAAGCCTGTCTGTAGATTCAATACAATGTATGAGTTTATTGTTTAAATGTCCATTATCATCGTACAAATGTTTATCGGGAAGGATTTTTTTTTATTTCTAGTGTCGTGGGACTAAGTCCCTTGTACTGCGGCCACTTCTGGCCTATTGTACCAGCCCCAGATGATAGGTGAGGGTGATTATGGATCAATTGGTGGAATGAAGATTGGCAGGGGAAACCGAAGTACTCGGAGAAAACCTGCCCGGCGCCACTTTGTCCACCACAAATCCCACATGACCAGACCCGGGATCGGGAAGCCAGCGACTAACCGCTTGAGCTATGGTGCGGCCCATCGGGAAGGATTAGTTTTGGTGAAAGTTGTTTTTAGTGGTTTTTACAAAAGACCTCTGGCTTCGAGCTGTGCCACAATGATGAAAACAGCAACACGAGTTTGCCTGGCCACGTATCGATGTGACGACTCGCCTCCGTCTAGGGACGGTGCTGACCAGCACTCCCTTCGCCCTTACTGCAGTAAAGTAGCATTGGTTGTTAGTCCTGTTGCATCTGATGCAGAAGTTCAGGAAAGAGGAATTCAAGTTCGGCTGCAGATATTTTTTTTTGGATATTACATGATATTTTATTATCTGTGGTCTAGTGGTCAGAGTTCCTGTCTAGAAATTCCCGGCGCTACCAGATTTTCTGAGTAGTGTATCTGGAACGGGGTCAACTCAGCCTCGTGAGGATAATTAAGGAGCTATTTCAAGGAAATATCGCCTCCGGCCTAGAAAACCGAGATTAACGGCTGTGGGGATCCGTTTCGCTGACCACGTGACACCCTCTATCCGCAAAAGTTAGCGGCGGTCGCTCGGTGTGTATAGTTCGCTTGCGGACTACAAGCCATGGAGTTTGTTTTTATACTACTTTTTCCCAGTGGTTCTTCCAGCCCGTTCAGGGCCCTGGCCTATTATTCAGTTCCGTAATCATTTTTCACAGACGGTATGACTCCTTAGACGAGTGATCAGCTCGTCGCAAGGCCTCTACCTAAGAGAGGAAAACAGAAACACAAAATATACGAATATACACACCAAAATCCATGCCTTGAATGGTATTCGAACCCACAATCCCACTGTTCGAGCGATCGAAGACAGCTCATGCCCTAGACCGCGCGGCTACTGTGACCGGCTTAAATAATATAATTTTTTAGTTTCTTGGGGTTGGGTGAGACAATCCACGTAGTACGTCGGTCTCTCTTTGGCCTATTGTACCAGCCTCGGATGATAGATGACGAGTGGAAGCAGTCGGTGGAAGGAGAATTGGCAAGGGATACCGAATTACTCGAAGAAAACCTGCCCAAGTGCCACTTTGTCCACCACAAATCCCACATGACCTGTCCTGTGCTCGAACCAGGGCCGCCGCGGTGGGAAGCCGGAGCAAACGCCTAAACAATGGCATGGCCTAATTTATATTATACTCGTGTATAATATAGAGCATATAGGACCTGTTGCATTTGCAAGTAAACTGAACTGCAACTTTAGGGAGCGTGGTGGACTGAGTTTACAACTGCACAAAAGAAAGTCTAGTCCAACGAACTCCAGACTGGGCATGAATCAGTGCTAGTAATATCGTGTAAGAGTCAGTTATTAATATTATTACCCCTGTCTTCTCTGTCTATAATTATGTCTAGTTAACACAGATACCTGATAATCATGGAAGCATTTCAAGTACCGGTATAGAATTTTTCTCGCGACGTCCTGTGGTTAACGGCCAGTTAGAATATATGACATAAACACCGTCCCAAATGCAACAATTTATTGTAGTTCTTTTGTCTTGCCCTCTTCTACACTACATGTTTCGGCTGCAAACGGCCATCATCAGGTGTATGCACTTACGTAGCTGTTACACTGCATCTAGTTTAAAATTTAAAACCATATATCGTATAGAGTGCAACAGGATGTTTAAATATAATATTGTAGGCCAGTTAGAAATAGCTCCATCCGGCATGCGAGTAAATGTGATAACCACTCTCTACTTCAAAGTGTTATAAGGCGTGTGACTTTATAACTCTGACCTTCTTTGTGTTCTTAGTCTGCGCTCAAGCGTGGCGACGTTTTCATCTTTTCTCGTGTAATACCTAAGGATCCCATTGATCTGGTTCTGTTTGTCCCATAAATAAGTATGCCAGAGTATCACTCTCTGACCTCATAGTCTACTGGTCACCTCTTCTTTACACCGTAACATTAACTACATAGTGTCACGCTGTAATGGCGGAGGTAGACATTTGAGTTGTAGCTAATAAAAATTCGAAATCTGTAGTTTTGGCAATTCATTACACTCCCTTCCGCCCCAGCTGAGTAAAAGGGTGAACGTCTTACCTAGTGAAGGGCTATCTTAATTACTGATATGTTGGGATTTTGGACTTTATCCATCGTCCTGGTTTTTATTTGTTATCTTAAAAACCAGGACGATGGATAAAGTCCAAAATCCCAACATATCAGTGTGTTATACACTATCGTCAGAATCCTATAGTAACTACTATCTTAATTATATTGATTACGTACAACCTTCTACTGCAATTCAATTAGGATAACATGGCCTCCTGAAAAGTACAGTTTTACAGTTTTACAACGCCACAGAAACAAATATAGAGCACAGTGTTGCAATGAATATAAATTGTAAGAAGGCGCTAATTAGAATCTATAAAATATGGATCCATACTTGCGATATGCATACATTTGAGTGCAAAATGCTGTGACAGAGACTTATTGAATTTATTTGGAATTGCATGTGTTATTCGACAGTAATGTAGAGAATTGTTTACTGAAGATTTATTTTATTTCATTTTTCTGTCATTTATTATTTTAGAGGTGTAGCTCTCCCTCACAGAAAAAGAGTCCCTTAATGCAGCATGTCTCTAATATCTTGTTACTATTTCCTACATCAAGTAGAAAGATAATGCTTCATAAAAGCCGGCCGGACTTGGCCGGTAATAGGTACCGTATACAATATATAGGAAAAATAACGACAGCTCTGTTCTCGTCTGTAAAGGCGCGTCAACATTACTCGTGTTCGTTGGGAGACTCGTCTGGCTTTTACTTGTGCCCGTAAATCTTCGTCCACACTACTTCAGTTGCTCGCCAGGCTTCGGCGCGTGAGGGTCCGTATATTTACTCGTGGTATGTATAGGATGTAGTCGTATCTTAATTTATTGCCTATAGTTTTTAAATGAAAAATTTAAAATTTGCTTGGCTCGTAACTTGTCATATCGTCCACATTACTCGACAGCATAGCGAGTCGCACGAGCACGAGCACGAGTAATGTGGACGCGCCTTAATATCGTAATAGGTCAGCTTCATAGATTTTTATTGCTAGTGGGGTGGGACTGAGTCCCTTGTACTGCGGCCATTTCTGGCCTACTGTACCAGATCCTGATGATAGGTGAGGGTGATTATGGAGCAATTGGTGGAATGAAGATTGGCAGGGGAAACCGAAGTGCTCGGAGAAAACCTGCCCCAGCGCCACTTTGTCCACCACAAATCCCACTTGATCAGACACGGGATCGAACCCGGGCCGCCGCGGTGGGAAGCCAGCGACTAACCGCTTGAGATATGGCGCGGCCAGCTTCACAGTTACTGATAATTTGTTGATGAAAGTGAGAACACTGCATTATGACAGATGCAATGCTGCAACATCAGATCTCGTATATTTTAAGTACGTAGCATTCAGTTAGCGAGGTTGTTCCTGTACCTAGCAGTAGGCTCGAAGATGTGTTCAGAGAGCCTTGCTTTAGGTTTAGGCACCAGATGCAGGTGAGTGGTCTGCTTCCGGTTAAGCCGATTTGCTCCCTGGCTAGGAGGAGGTTGGGTGAGCCCAGGAGTCAGTCTGGGCGTGGTATTTAGAACAAACAGCGCTATCTGTGTCAGAATGGAACGTGAGTTGTTCCATTCTCAACGAGGAACTCCTCCTCAGGGCTCCTTTCTAAACATTGTTACTTGTCATTTCAAACAGTCTGAGGCAGGAGTTTCCTGAAACTGTTCTTGTCAGAGGTTACACCGAGGCATTCGTGTATAGACCTACTTTCTACTGAAAATTCTGTATAGTGAAGAAGGAACTTGAAGTTCTGACCCAGGTCGCAGCTTCATGGCACCTACAAATATTTTGTTGGCATAATTATTTATCACCTATATTTGAAACTTACCGTATCTAATAGTTCAATTATTTTCGAAAAGAAGTACCACCATGCACCATTAGAAATCTGAAACAACAACAAAAAAATTAGGAAGAGACGTTAACATGATTCATAGTAAAATGTGAGACTAGTTAATTGTGGTACATGGAAGGCGCCGCTAGACGTGTTACCTGTACAACTGACACGAAAGTAACACAGTGATTCAGGGGCATGACCAAGAAGTTTCTAAGCCGGATACACATTTTGGCTTACTGCCTTGACTTAAGAGCGTAATGTAACACGTGTGTGCGGTTTTACTGTACTGTTCTCCCTTGTTGGGTTCGCGGCGCGGTCAATCCACCCATATGTCCGTTTTGCAGCGAGCATCAAAGCAGTGGCGGCTCGTAGCTAAAATTAATGGGGGTCCTGCTCCAGAAGCGCACAGTTCCATACAAAGATTTGGCTACTGACATTAAGCTTAAGGATTATATAGTGTATTGTACAAGTATAAAGAAAGAATTAAAGAAAAAAGGACTCATTATATAAATGTTATCGATAATATCATGTGGAAATTGGGGGGTGCTGCAGTTCCGCAGGCCTATACACGGGCCGCCCCTGCATCAAAGAATACCACATTGTAGTTGCACGTGTGACCACTTCTGTGGTCTAGTAGTCAGAGTTCCTGGCTACAGATCCAGGTTTTCTGAAAATTAGTGGGTCTGGAACGGCGTCCACTCAGCCTCGTGGGGATAATTGAGGAGCTATTTCAAGGAGATAGCGGCTCCGGTCTAGAAAACCGAAATTAACGTCCTTGGGGATTCGTTGCGCTGACCACGCGACATCCTCTATCCGCTAATGTTGGCACTAACTTCGCCGACAAGCGGTGGTTCCTCAGTCGGTATGTAGTTCGCTTGCGGACTGAAGCCACGTACTTTTTTTTTTGTTTGTAGTTGTACGTGTTTCTGCAAGCGTTCGCCTGTTGAAAACCGTTCCTAATTTTGACCAGGTCATTTCTCCACTCTTTTTTCTATTCTATTTTTTGTTCATTGTGATTTTCGATGAAGTGGAATGCGAAAACACGTTAACATTCATAAAACTGTACAAAGCTAAGTCTGTTCCCTGGGATCCGACACAACATAAGTATTATAACAAACACATGAAATGCGACGTTTTGGAGAAATTAGTAAAGGCTGTGGGCTTATGGAATAATTCGGCGGGTTGCCTGCTTCGGTATTTTGAAAAGGTATTGCAGGCTACGAATCGCTAGTAACCATTCCTCTTCTCCTCCATTCGTGCTACTTGCCCTGCCCATCTCATCCTCCTTGACTTGATCATTCTAATTATACTTCGAGAAGAGTACGAGTTATGAAGCTGCTCATTATGCAGTTTTCTCCAACCTTCTGCCACTTCATCTCTCTTCGGTCCAAATATTCTCCTCAACACCCTCAGTCTATGTTCCTCTCTTAATATCAGAGACTCTCACATATAATATATGACTTAAGAGCATGTTCTACTTACTGCAATTGAGAATGGATTTCTGTGAAGTTCTACTGGATGACAGCCGTTTTTAAATATGTAGGACATAGCACCAACCCTGAAAGGCTGAAACACATAAAGTAGGTTGTTTTCATATGTGTTACTGAGTCTTTAAACTTATCGCTCACTGTATCTGGTACGATGACGTTAGCATACCGGGACTCTTACGCCCATTTCTGGTGGTTGTGCCGAATTTTACTCACAGAAGAGGAACGAGCTCACATCGCAGACGTAAATATCCGTCTCTTACACACACACACACACACACAAATCTATACAGACTATATGCACATGTAAAGTTACATGATCTGCAGGTTCGGTGCACAAGCAAGCAAACTGTGGGCCTGTGGAGCACGTGATCATGATGGACAAGAGCATCCGCAGTATACGTACCATAGTACTGAGCCAGAGGCTGAATATGACTTGATAAAAGTTGTATGCGACAAGGATCCTTTGGAGATTGAACGCCTTCCGTGTGGCCATTAGCTGAGGTCCTAGCTTCAGAACGAAGTACAAGTAGAAGACCAGAATTAACAGAACTGGCATAGGGCTGCTCATGAGGAACCATGAGTCCACCATTGGGTCTGAAACACAAGACAAGCACAGCACCACAGAGTAAGTTCGCTCGAATCGAGACCTTTGTGATTCGTTTTGGGAGGCATCCGGTTCGAATCTCGGTCAGGACATTGACGATTGTCGAGGCTTCCCTCCGTCTGTCGATACAAATTCTGTCTCTAATTATACTGCGATCGCTTCTTCTATATTTTTCCAATTCGTTTTCCACATCCTGTCATTGGACAGTATATATAAAAAGCCAACCACACTCGTTGGCCCTCCTTAAGGTCAGTCTTTTCTGACGGGCCCGACATAGATGAGGCCTCCCGCCCTTCCAACTGAGGACAGAAAGAGTCTCTGTTCTCGAAACGTCGTGTTGTTCAGAATACTGGATGATGGGCAAAGTGTAAAACTTCAGTAAATTTGACTTATTTTCACAACCGCCAGAACCCTTCAGAACCGAATGATAAAAATACTCAGTGACCACCTCACTTACCCAATTTCAATTCGTACATCTCGGGCCCACCCAACCTCCTATCCAATGGGTGCCGGGGGCTCTTTCCCCGGTATTAAAGCGCCCGGGAAGTGAAGCTGACCACTCACCTCCAACTAGCACAGAGGTTAAGAAAACGTGGGTCTGTACATCCGCTCCCCCATACCCCTTCACGGTGTAGTACTTAGTTAAACACAATGACAACTTTACCTTTACAGATCTCGGCTGATTAGATGTTTCTATGACAGCTAAATTTTTCGCGCTGTCGCCATAGTCAAAATTGTTAACGTATATGTAAAACAATTGATTCTCACATGTTTATCCATAAACTACCTCTATATATCCCTAGCTCCAACAGTCGCCATTATATCGAAAATTACGTGAATATGTCTATACACCTTACGCGGTAAAGATCTTATTAATTTACACTCTATAAAAATGAATGAAGTCTTACCGAAAGCTGCACTGTATTTCAAACAAATGTCACCACGTAAATTGTAATGACTGTGCAACAGATGGCTCTCATATCGATCACATGTGACGCTCAGGAATTAATTGCTATCATTGTTAACCGTAAGTTAGAAAGTACACCGTTTAATGCCGCTACTAGTTCTAAGTTTCATTTATTTATAATATATTTAATGCCGTTTTCAGTAGTTTACATTATATAATATCGAATATTAGACCGATAAATAAATAAGTAGTCGACGAAAATATGAAGGAAATGGCATTTGCTTAATTTAAAGCAATGTCCCACATTTACTTTGAGGGAATGAGGATACCGTATTTACGCATGTATAGGCCGCAGCACAATTTTCAGACGGAAATTATAGAAAAAATAATTTTCTTGGAATATTATTTCAGGAGTAGAACACCCTGTATTACTAATTATGAATATATATTTTTTTAAATGAAGTGTGATTTCGAATATAAGCCGCGCCCCAGTTTTCCTCTTGAATTTTTGGCAAAAAATGTGCGGCCTATACATGCGTAAATACGGTATTTACGAAAGGTGTCAGTCAGGATTGTGGGTATTGGGCACAAGACGGGAATTTCATGAAAAATCTCCCGTTGAAATGAAGCGTATCAAGGAAAGCTCAACCACTGAACACAGGGAGTTGCTTCTCCGTGGAAAGCCCCCAATCTTCAAACTGATGTCACATCCATATGACGCCTATAGTTAACCGTACTTTCTTGTAGTTTCCCAGAGTATTCATGGCGCTAGTGCTTAAGCACAGGGCAACTTCAGCTGAAGTCTCACGGATAACATTGATGCTTTGATAGCATGACACAAAACAGAGAAATTTACAGTGAAATATATCGAATCTGTTATAGTATTATTTGTATTACATAATCAAAATCATTTCCTCCTGCAATTTTTTGACAAAATTTGACAAAATACAATCACAGTATGGTGCTGTTCGACCTCAGGATTAAGCAGCATATTAGTTTCCTACGACGTCCGTGTGCTGGCTTCAGTTACGTCAAGATTTTTACTGGCGGCAAGCAACGTTTCATAACGCGTGACGCGTGACTCACCTTTCTTTGATTGCAGGATCTCATTGTAATTGTGCACCACCAGATGCATTAAGCCCGCCATGGCCGATACCAGGGATTGTTGTCTGAAACACAAGTATGAACATTGTAGCGATTTGAACACGAGGGAAAACACAATGAATACTGTGATATGAGAACAAACTTTATAGCTATTGGAACATGCGGGAAAACACAATGAATACTGTGATATGAGAACAAACTTTATAGCTATTGGAACATGAGAATGAACACTATTGCGACTAAAACATGAGGACAAAGATTACGGTTGCTGGAATATAAGAAACTTTATAGCTATTGGAACATGGGGACGAATATTATAGCTACTAGAATATGAGGGTAAACATTATAACTACTGGAACACGAGAACGTACGAGTACATTGTAGCTACTGGAACGTGACGACAGACATTAATTAGAGTTACTGGAAAATGAGGAAAACATCATAGCTACTGGAATATGGGACGAACATTACAGCTGTAATCACTCACTCATGGAGCTGAGCCCTTCTTGAGAAGCCGCCAATCGTGCAGATACTCAAGAAATTCCCAGGATTTTATAGAACCCACTTCATGAAAAGAAGCAAAATGGCGATATGTGGTCTGCATATCTAAATTTACTCAGTATGATTCATGTGATTGCTAAGCACTGTTTGGGTTATGACGTCATCGTGTCTGCGCGGAATTGTGTTTACCGAGCCGTTGTCTAGAAGCGGGTTGCATAACCCCGTTGTTCCATTGATGTATGTAGCATGTACTAAGGCGCGTCCACATTACTCGTGCTCGTGCTCGTGCTCGCGAGTAATGTAGACGATATGAAAAGCCACGAGACAAAAAATTAAAAATTTGTAATTTAAAAGCTATAGCCAATAAATTGAAACACGTCTACAGCCTATACACACTACTGGTAAATATACGGATCCTCACGCGCCCGAAGTTTGGCGAGCAACTGAAGTAGTGTGGACGAAGATTTACGGGCACAAGTAAAAGCCAGACGAGTCTCCCGACGAGCACAAGCCTAGTGAGCACGAGCACGAGCACGAGTAATGTGGATGCGCCTTTACTTAGAAAGAGCTATTTCTATGGCTCAACCGTTCTTGCACAGAGCAAATATGCCGCAACATTTACCTATTACAAAGACCAGTTTTCCATAAAGTCACGAATTTGTCAGAACCGTTAATCAAATTTTGGCGAAAGGTGATGTGACAGGTCGTTAAATGACGTCAGCTGGCTTCCTTCAGTTTTAGGCATGTTGACTGATATATAAAGCCTACTTTATACTCGTATAAAGCTGTAAATTGTCCTTTTAGTGTATGCGGTATAGCATTCACTAGCTAAAGAGTCTTCTGGGATGTGACGCTGTATCATTTTGTACCAACGCTTTGGACGAACCTGGTGCTCGTCTGTTCAGGGCGGGATACTGTGACGGTAGAGGCAGCAGGTTCCAGCAGTGCAACAGCGCGGTAGAGTGTACCACTCCGCGTCACGTGAACCTCAAGCCTCATATAATATTTTTATTTCTTCATGAGAAGAACTTTTTTTTTATTGCTAGTGGGGTGGGACTAAGTCCCTTGTACTGCGGCCACTTCTGGCCTATTGTACCAGCCCCAGATGATAGGTGTGGGTGATTGTGGAGCAATTGGTGGAATGAAGATTGGCAGGGGAAACCGAAGTACTCAGAGAAAACCTGCCCCAGCGCCACTTTGTCCACCACAAATCCCACTTGACTAGACCCGGGATCGAACCTTGGACCGCAGCGGTGGGAAGCCAGCGACTAACCGCTTGAGCTATGGCGCGGCCTTGGGAAGAACTTACGTACTGGGGAGTACTTTAATGAGCGGATTGTCAGATACATCCCACAATTTCTCACCGTCTCACCTAATTCTGGGCCATTATGGAGAGTGTATGCATAATTCGTACTGATAATTATAATCCGTCTTCATGCAAGATGTTATAGCCCTGGCTCCAATGACCCATTATACCGTGACATATAAATAAAATCACCTGCTGTTTTCTCGTATTCTATGAAAATATTGCCTTCAAAAGTGCTGCATAATTTTCGCAGTTCTGTTGCCAAATATAATAATATACGACGCCAGTGAAACCCCCACCTCACAATTTATCGCGTCCACAAGGTTGTTATGATCACAGAAAATTACGGAGTGTGAGGTTAGTGCTACGCGTAATGATATAAACATCGGTACTAGATTCTGTGGAAGTCGGCCAAGCGTTGAAAAGGAGGACATACTTAGATGGCTTGATGGTCTACTAAGTAATTCTTTTTCTGACGGAAATAGGCAGGATTGTGAGTTCATCACGCTCTGCGCATGTGCATACTCACCACCAACAACACCTGAGCCAGCTGATCAGTTTCACTCTGTTTGGTACGGATGCTATTACATTTATGATGATCATACGAAAATTATATTTCTCAATTTTTAACAATCAACAATAATAACAGCGGAAACATGATTTATGAGGTGTCGTTGGCATTAACATCGTAAAATCCAGTAATTGTGCCTTCTGTGCAAAGTCAAGAGCAAGAAGATTTTATAAAGTAATTCAAATTGAGTAATAAAAAGTAAAGGTCACACTGTAACAGGCAGTGGAGGCCCAAAGGGTTGTGAGATGTTGAGGTTCCCACATTTTCTAGAGAATCGGCTAATAGATGGCGGTAATGTCGTCAGCCTTACGCGCCGGCCGCCCTTTACTCCCAAGAATATTCCTGGTACTCATATCTGTTACAGGTTGAGTCTACCCCAGGGCCATAGTGCTGCTGGAAGGATTAGGTCAATTGAAACATTTCAATGGCCTCATCGGGACTTGAACCCGCGACCTTCCGGCTTGTAGCATAGTGCCTCAACCAACTGCGCTACCGCGGAGTATCAGACTAAATTTAAATACAGGCAGGCACAGCCAAGGTATAGAAAATGTAAATTCAGGAAAACATCAGTCCTATACAAATTTTACAAATGCAAAATATATTCTTTTCAACCAGTTGCGTAAATCGCTAGATTATATTTATTTTTTCCAAGAGAGCAAATCCTAGACAACAAACAATTTTTTTTTTCTGTGGCGCTACAGCCCCAATTTGGGCCTAGGCCTACCTCCATGAAACTCTCCGTTTCACTTCGGTTTACTAGGTCTTAAACATTCGGTAGGACTCCTTGGGCGAGTGATCAACTCGTCGCAAGGCCTCTACCTGTAGACAAACACAGAAAAACGCACACAAACATCCATGCCCTGAGTGGGATTCGAGCCCACGATCCCGGCTTCCGAGCGAGCGAAGACAGTGCATGCCTTAGACCGCTCGGCTACTGTGACCGGCAGACAACAAACTATACTTGCTGGAAATAGTCTTGTGTAGACGGGAATATAATAAATATTACGTATATTGACAATTGATACGTTTACAATGAGAAATCACTTCTGCTTTTACGTAAGAAATACAACAGAAACCATAAAATTTAAAGAATTAAATGTTGACTTTTTACAACAGAAATTATGAACTATGGACACTCATGCATTGTGATGACTTGTGCAGTTACACGTCATACACACATTTTACAAATATCTGTGGTAACCATAATACAACTATGGACATGCTCCGGTAAATACAGGCCTCTGTCCAAATAAGTGTACACAGCAGTTAGGATTAGGTACATCGTTCTGTACGCGTTGCGCGATGATAACATTGTGAAACAAAAACATTCAGTCGAGTATGTGCAAGCACAAGCATCGGTACAACAAACAGTGAGCGCATGTTTTATGATAATATGTCCGCGTGGGCTTCCCACCATGGCTGCCCGAGTTCGATCCCAGGTCATATCATGTAGGATATGATGTGGACAGAGTATCACTAGGGCCGTTTTTCTTCGGGTACTTCGGTATCCTCTGCCAGTTTTCATCCCACTAACTGCTCCTGCTCGTTATCATCTAACACAGCAGGAAAATTACCGGCTGACGTAGCAAGTGGACTCAGTCTCACCCCTCCCCATGAAGAAGCCTACACGTGTGCGCGGTAACTGCGAAAATACTGAACAAGTACTCGTGGACAGCCGACAAAGAATGTTATTCCAAGTTGGGTTGATAACGGAAAGAATATGACACACATAATATTGCGCACAATTTGCGCTTGGGTTCTTTGTGAAACCTAAACAATGGAAACAGGACGGTTCTGTCTCAAAATATCGTCCAGTCGCCGACTCTTGTGAATACGATAATGAGCTTTCTGGTTCACGAAATTAAGAGATTGTATTGTCCTGCTGAGCGAGTGTTAGTATCTCAAGAAGGATACTGTTCGACGGGTTTAGTAAGGACGTAAATTGCTTTCCAGTCCAGGACAGTAACATGAGGTTGCGTGAGGCATGCGATTCCTTGCAGCCCCCGAGATATTGTCCTGCTTTACTATCTTCACCAAAGGCTCTACGAGCGCCTATGCAGTGGTTACCAGGAGTTTCCTCTGCGATCAAAGCTGCCAGAATGTGCAGCAGACCTCTCATCTCCATCTTGTTGAGAGTTCCGGATCACTGACACCTCACCTCGACGTTCCCTATCCCTGTCTTCATGCTCAGAGAGGCGCACCTCAGGCTTGCTGGTGGTGTTCAGACGGGATGTTAAGTGTCGTTCCGAAACTTGGCGTACTCTTCCAAAGGGACGAATGCAGGTCAGAATCTTCAAGCGGGAGGAAAGAAAAGGAGGACAGAGAAAACGAAGGGGTAAATGAAATGCTTCATAATTTGTACTCTTCAGCAAATATTATTATGGTTATAAACTCGATAGGACATGAACGGTAAGAAATATAGCACGCATGTGGAGTGCTGTAATAAGTACATAAGTTTTAGTCCGAAAATCCTCAAGGAAAACGTTATTTAAAAGACCCAGACATAGATGAGATGTAGCTGACTCCATGGAACTGCATCCTTCTTGAGAAGGCAGTAGTTGCTAAGCCACACAGAATTCCAGTATTTTGTGGAACCCGTAGTTTCATTACCGTGTTCGCAAGAGACTGCCACTAGTCTCTGTCATGAGCCAGGTGAATCCATTCCACACCCTCATCTTATCTAAGAT